TATATATATATATATATATATATATATATATATATATATATATATATATATATATATATGTATATACATGTGTGTATATGTGCATCTGTGTGTGTGTGGGTGTAACTGCTAATGGAGTTGTGGACATAGTAACCATCCATTAATTTATTCGTTCCGGAATTTAATGCACTGCGTATAAACCCGCGCGCACTGACATAATAGCTGACATTATCAATACTCGCGACAAAAAACACTTTCTCTCATAAATGGATCATCAGCCAGAGAAAGGCAACCGTTTCATTTCATCCTCATTCCCCTTTAGTAACAGCCAAATCCTCTTTGCAGGAAGTGGCATCCTCGCCACTGCTGCTGAGTCGGGAGGCCAGGTCACCAGGCTTCCATGGCCCTCCCTGCGTCCCGTGCACTTGCAGGAAGAAGATCACGCACATCACCATAATTGAAGAGGAAATCATTCCAACAGCAGCTAGGTTTGGCGGCGGCGGAAGGCCCAACTGCTGCCCTTGCAATTTCGGCTGATTTGGTAAGTTTCTTTTGTCCTCTGTTCTCTCTGACTTTTTCTCACTCTACCCCCCCTCTCTCTCTCTCTCTCTCTCTCTCTCTCTCTCTCTATATATATATATATATATATATATATATATATATATATATATATATATATGTATATTCATATGAATATGTGTATGTGTATATCTGTGTATGTGTCTGTTTGTTTGTGCTTGATATATACACGTATATTTGTTCGTTTTTCTTTCTCTCGCACACGTTACTTCGAAATCCTTCCCGCTTGTGCATTAAATGATATTTACTCCTTTATTCCATTTACTGCAAGTGTATTTGCACACAATAAGAAAGGAAAACAAAACCGCGCTTTCAGTCGGACTCGAAACCGCATCAGGCGATCGAATCGGTTTCATCGCCTGATGAGGAGTAAAGTTGGACTCGAAACGTCATGATCTTTTTCAGTTTCTAATTGTTTTATTTCAACTTTGTGTATTTGTTTCTGTTTTTTTTTTTTTTTTTCAAGTATAATATCTAAAGCCGTTATCTTTCACAGAATGTTGCTGATGGGACGACGGCGTCAATCTTCTGGATTTCTAGACGGAAAATCACAATTTTGTTAAAAAAGAAAAATGAAAGTATTGATATTATGCAGATAATAAAATTTAACTAAGCAGAGCGGCTTTATATTCTCCTTGTGCAACCAGGCAGAAGAAGGCGAGCCTCTGTGTTGCAGGATTGAAGTGCAACTTTCCCACAGACAGACACTCAGATACGTCTATAACAATGCCCAAACATAAACCAAAAAGCGAATCAAAATAGAGAAAGTGGCAACCGGGTCCGCACGAGGCACGTGCTTCAGCGACTCAACTTTCAGCAACGTTAAATTTAAGCTGAACTTGACAATATTGGAAAACAATTACATTCAAAGTCATCTGACATTTTTTTTTTCTCATACATGCGTTTATGCATAAAAGTAAATTTTTCTCTTCTAACTTTTGTGTGTGTGAATACATATGCATACATATGTCGTTAGAATGATATAAACACAGATATCTAACTGTGTATCTCATCCAGTATGTTTCCTCTCATATGCATAATTATATGCATGCACACATACTTATGTATTCATTTTCCTTTCCTTCTTACTCGTGAGTGTGACATACACATACACACACACACACACATACACACACACACACACACATGCACACACACACACACACACACACACACACACACACACACACACACACACATACACACACACACACACACACACACACACACACACACACACACACACACACATATATATATATATATACATATATATATATATATATATATATATATATATATATATATATATATATATATATATATAGTATACCTACAAATCAATATACAAATAGATAGATGTAGACATAGATACATGTGATTGTTTGCGCCAAAAGGAAGAAGCAAGATTCATAGAAAGCATCTGACAGGATCAGCTTCCGGGAATCAAGCATTCAGCTTAAACGAGAAAGAGAGAGAGAGACAATGAGAGGCAGAGAGACAGAGAGATAGAAGAAGAGAGAAGCTTAAACGAGAAAAGAGAGAGACAGAGAGATAGAAGAAGAGAGAAGAACGAGAAAGAGAGAGAGAGACAATGAGAGAGAGAGACAGAGAGAAAGAAGAGAGAGACAGAAGAGAAGGGATAAACACACAAACTAAAGAAAACACGGAAACAGGCAATGCACAAGGAAGAGGCACATGTCGAAAGGTCAGATTTAGGATATAATTTCCTCCATCTGTCACTGAGGAAAACAATGAGTGCCTTATCTCTTCCTTTTTGTATACATGGATGATCATATATATATGTTTGTATGTATATATATATATATATATACATATATATATATATATATATATATATATATATATATATATATATATATATTATATATATTATGAGTGTGCATGTATATATATATATATATATATATATATATATATG